TCTTTTCCTTTCTTTTCCTTCCTTCCTTCTCTTCCATCTTTCTTTTCCTCTTCTTTTCCTTCCTTCCCTCCCTCCCTCCTTCCTTCCTTCCAACAGCTTGCCTTCAGAAGTAGTGGATGCTCTCATCCCTGGAGGCTTTCAAGAAGAGACTGGACTGCCACCTGTCAGAAATGGTGTCGGGTCTCCTGCTTGGGTGGGGGGTTGGACTAAATGACCTACAAGATCCCTTCCAACTGTGCTTTCTTTCCTGCGCTCAATAAAGATAGGAAACAGAAGGGCTCTCTCCAGTCCAGGCAAGCCAGTCGGAGGCTGGGCAAGTTTAAACGAAGCTCAAAACACATCCATTCAATTAAAAACTTCGGTTCTTAAAGCCAGCCACCCATTCAGGCCAACGTGCTTTGCTTTAACTCCACCGTACCAGTCTTGAATGTTTAATTAAAGCCACACGTTTGAATTTGCAATAAAATATTTGGCGTGGCTTCGTCACTGGAAAGTGAGGGTGTGAACTTATTTTTCTCAAACCGTGGCCCGTTTTGGATTGTCAGGTCTTCAAGGACAGGAGAGAATTCGATTCGCAGGTATCTTACGGGGTCATTGGGTGTCAGGAGGCGGGTCACCCAAGGCTACTGGAGGTGGGTGGGAAGGAATAATTTATACACACCTTTTTCCGGATCGAAACGATTTGGGAGAATGGAGAGAGAGCCATCTAAATATCTTGCAAGAAACCTGTGATGAAAGAAACACTGGAAACAACTAGTACTCTGAATAAGAAGCTAATTACTCCAGGCATGCAGGGTTAAACCAGGGAGTGTTATTTATGGCTTTACGTCAATATTTTTGATTGCAAAATTTCCTTTGCAGTAACTAAGTGCACAAACTTATGAAAAAAAAAATCTTTTTATTAAACCCCTGTACACAAGCACAAATATATGTACAGCATATTCAAAGATGACGATGTTACCAAAACCAAAAAGCCGGTGTCGTGTTTTTTTTTTCTTTTTTAAAAAATTAAAATCCCCTCAATCACTTAAAAAAAAAAAAAACTTTTCAAAAAGGATGGAAAGAGGGCGGTTGACTGATTCCTGATTATTCCCGTCGGATCGCCACAAGAATTTTGAGGGGAAGCATTTTTTAAAAAATCCCCAAAAAACCCAAGGTCCTTTCCAAAGGACAGTAAATGTATTTCGAGAACTACCAGCTCCCAATGCAAAAAGCTTGGCAGAGACAAGAAACCTTGGTTGGTAGAGAGAGGCAGGGATGTATTTGACTCCAAGTTGAAGAGGGGAAAATTCAGGGGTCTATTTAATGCAAGGTTGGAGAAGATTCACAAATCTTTTTGTGTATTTGTGGAAGATCAGTCCTGCTTCGAGGTCAAAATGGAAGCCCGTCCCCCCCCCCGACTTTCTTTAAAAACAAAAAAAAAATGGTTTCAGGAAGAACACAACACTTTCCTTCTCTGGCTCTTGATTCGTGCTTTAAGGCAGGGGTGTCTCCAACCTTGGCCACTTTTAAGACGTGGGGATGACTTCAACTCCCAGAGTTCCTCAGCCAGCAAAGAGTTACCCAGAATTCAGAATGGATGGGACAAGAAGAAATGTCAATAAGGAGGCTTTATCATATTTCTTTCATAAACTTTTCTTAATAATAGATGGTGGGAATGCGGTAAATGTAATATATCTTGACTTCAGCAAAGGCGGGGGGGGGAGGAGAAACCTTTCTGGCTGAGGAATTCTGGGAGTTGAAGTCCACAAGTCTTAAAGCAGCCAAGCTTGGAGACACCCCTGCTTTAAGGGCAAAGCATCCAAATCCTGGTTTGTTTGGGTTTTTTGGTTTGTTTGTCCCTGGCCCGAGTTGGGCTGTTAAAGGGAAAGTTTCTTATTCTTCAGCTGGCTTCTTGGGTATTTTTTCAGCGCGCTCCTTATCCGGAGGTAAGTCCCGGTGGACTCCGACATGTTGTCGTATTCGAAAGGTGTGATCCCAGCAGCAAACTTGCTCATGTCGGGAACGAGGCCAGGAGGCTTGGAGGAAGGCGACTCGCTGGCATTGGGAAGGGCGGGAGCGTCGCTGTGATTCAGGCAGCCGGCGGGATCCGAGGAGCAGGTTTGGTCTTGGCTTTCAGAGTCTGTGGGAATGGCTTCCGCCTCGGTTGTCAAATCCACTAGTTCAATGGCCTGTTGAGGACCAGGCTCTTCGGCAGCCTGGGGTTCCTGCTTGGGCTCAGCTTCGGAGACCTCTGGCGGTTGGGGGGCTGCTTCCTCCAGGGGAACGGAAGGCTCCGTCCTGCAGGGGGTCGACGTCCCAGAGTTGCCGGCCATGGGAGTCCCGGCTGGGAGGTCCGAGTCGCTGTTGGCGCTCTCCGCCTGCTCGAGGGCCGCCCAAATCAACCGCTGCTGCTCCTCCAGCTCCTCCAGGGTCAAGGTATCTTCATCCATGGCCGAGTCCTCCGGCCGCGGGGCAGACGGCGTCCAAGGCGGGGTGTCGCGAGGCAGGGCTGCTGGCACACAAGACAGCGGTTGAGGTGGAGGAGAAGTCAGGCTGGGGGGGGTCCCTGGCGGGGTGCCCTGCGGCAGAGGGGGGGGAGTGGCGGTCAGCGGAGACCCCGGAGGCAACGGAGGCTGGAAGTGGAAGCCGTCGTAAGCGGGAGGGCTAGGGGGCATTTCTAGATCTGAAAGGAGGAAAAGAGCAACGGCTTTAATCACTCGCCTGCCTCACTCGGGGCGGAGCTAAGCGGGGTGGCGCTTCGGACAGGCGTCGGTGGGCTCCCACCAGGAGCTCGTGGAATGGAAAGGGGAAAAAAGCAAAATGGGAGGGGGGGAAAGTTTTTAAAATAGCCATGGGGGTTTTAAGAGGAAAGTTATACCAGAGTCGATCTCCATGTCAGCTGGTGGGATTTCAACGCTGCTTCCTTTCTGCCGTTTCGAATGATGGGAGCTCTGGCGAGAGGGAGGCCTTTTGGGCCTGGATTTGAGATTGGCCTGAGGGGGGGAAGGGGTCAGAAACAAAGGAGAGAAAGTAAGAACCCCAGAGGGGGAAACCCACCCACCCCCCAAAAATAAAGGTTTCGCTCCGGGGAAGCAAAGCAGCGTGCTTAAAAATATTCACCGAATGGTAAGTGGAAAGATAATGAGCAAAAATTTCTTTCTGCTGGGATGGCTGAAGAGGTACCGAGCCGAACATCCGCCATTCCTGCACCCCCCCGCCACAAAAAAAGGAAAGAAATTATTAGGAAATCAAAGAATAAATGTCCAAGCTTTATATACACGCAACGGAGCTTTGCTGTCTTATCGTTAATCGAAAGAACAGAGGCAAGAAAGGAGCAGCTCTAATCAAGGGTATGATATGCTGTGATAAAACACACAGATTCTCTTTCTGTCAGTCCTTCCCAAAGGCATTTAAGACAAAATGGGAGCTACAGGTATTCTTCGGCTTATGACCATGTGGGTTGTTAAGCAGGCCACCACACGACCAATTTAAATGCCTTCCTTGCCGCAGTTGTTATGGGAATCCATTGTCTGCAAAGATGATTATTATTGTTGGTTTGTTTCCTGCTGGAAAACGAAAGCAAAAAATACCCGAAACGTTTTCCAGCCGAAAATGTTATATATATGCTGATCACGTGACTGCGGTGCACTGCACAAGTCGGTAAATGCCCAGGTGGAAGGGCGGGATGACAGCACAAAAAAACGGGGCAACTTACGTCTGCGACCCCACTTGGAGTGGACATGTTAAAACCTGGGTAGTTGATCAACTTGGAGAGATCGTACGTGACCCGGGGATTCTGCTGGTGGGGCTCCTCCTCTGCCTCACTGCTGGGCGACGCTGTAAGAAAGGCAACGTCAGTCCTGGAAGACATTACTGGCAAAAGACATAATCCAGCTGCTCTCCGGCTTCCGGCTGTTTTGGCACTGAAGGCTGGAATGCGGGGACACCTTTATTTAATCGAACAGGCCCAACAAGAGCTCTGAGGAACAATCTCTGCCCATCTCTGCCCTGACCAGCAAGTTAGCCACGGGTTGAAACTGGGCGGCAAAAAAGCTCAGGCTGTCCAATCAACACGTCACGCTAAGCCACGGTCTTGTACAAGCAAATGGGAGAATCTCCCTTTTACCTTTTCCGTCGTAGAGCGTTAAGCCGGATTTCTCCATCTCTGCCTCTTTCAGCCAGCCTGGAGGATAACCCAGTTGCCGCATGCGATAGATGAAGGGAGGAAGCGTCTTCTCGGTGACACCGAGGGCATCCTGGAGTTCCTCGCTGCGGGGTGGGGTGGGGGGTAAGGGAGGTCAGTTTAAAAACAAGGAAATTTGAGCCACGGTTTTGGCAACGTTGGTTTCAGACTGCCGACTGAGAAAACGCAAGGATCGTGCACGTTAGAGTCAGGTAAGGAAGTCGCTGGATGTGTTGTTTCTTTATCTGTGTCCCTGTCAACTAAAAAGATATTCCCTTTGGTCTTTTTAGCTGCCAGAAAAAGGGTGGTGGATAACAGTGCATTCCCTAAGTGCCTAGATAATCACCCTGGCAGCCCAAAGTTGTCGGAGCGCAAGATTATTACCGGAGAGCCTGATTGATGACTCTGGGCTATGGATGTGTCCCATTGGAGAATACACATCCAGGGGGTGGGGGGAAGACCAGGGTCAAGGGGGAAATGAAGGGTGTATCTTAGTGTCGGCTGCACCCAGGTAACGCCAACATGGCCACTTCTAATAAATCAATTTTCTTCCCTCTTTCTGATTTGAATGGGGCTGGATTTGTTGGAGTCCTGACAGCCCCTTTTTTGCGGATTTGCAGTTGGAAATTGTGGACTCAGTGGTGACTGTTGTGACTACTTGTACCTGATTATTCCTGGTTTGAAGCGTCCAAACCGCTCTTCCACTTCATCCGCGTGGTACCTCTGCTGGAAATTTGGGCTGCCTGTTTCCCCGCAGGCCTCCATAAAAGCTTTTCTTTTTTCATTTATGCGGGCAGAGTTTCGTGGCTAAAATTAGGATAGGAGGGAAAAACAAAGACCGTCAGGAAGCTACCAAGCCCTGATAGCCGCCGCCAGTAAGGCTACCAAAAGCACAGATTGAAATATGTCTTTACCTGTGGGCAATCTTTCATCTGGTGATCTTCAGAGCCACAGTTGAAACAATGAGATTTGGGCCTGTTTTATTAAAAAAACACACAGACACACAGCACACATTAGAGCTGTTGACACTCAGGGACTTTTTTTAAAAAAAGAAACTTGCTCTACTCTTCTTGGTGCATTGTTAGATGTAGCAGCAGAAAAGGAGCAAATCAACTAATGCCCATTTACAGCTTTAAAGGTGGAAAAAGTCACACCCAGCACAGCGATGAAATGGTACTGAATATATCAACAACCAAGCAAAATTTGATGTCAAATGATGGATGCCAGGAGAAATTCTAAGTCGACTGTGAGGCAGGCAGCAAAGAACAGTGTGGCTCTTAAGTGTTGCCCCACAACTTTTGCATTGCTGCCAAGGAATATTCACAGCTGGGCCTTTTCAACAGTTAACCAAAGAAAAACAAGCGTTTTATCAGAGTTTTGCGCTGGAAGACAGAACCTATAACTGAGATAAAAATATACATTCTATAGGCCACCTGTGACAGGTGTTTCCAAGATTCTGATTCTCTTGAAAGAGACAGGTAGCCATCAAAACTCCTGTTTTATACCTCTGTGGGGATTTGAGGATACAAATGTTATCTGTGTTTGTTTTTTTACGTGCTCATATACCATTTCACCTTTAAAGTCCAACTGAAAAATTTACATTACAAAGTAAATCCTAACCCTTTCTATTACTAACCTATCACAAGACATACTTTTAAAAATAAAACCAGAAACATTTGTAGATTTAAAGAAATACAAACCTTTTAGACTTTACTTGTATCTCTTGCCCATCTAGAGAAAGAATCTGCGTGAAAACTTGCTGGTATCTTAAGAATTCAATAAGGAATTGCCATCGTATCAAGCAAAATGCAATCATAGGGTTTGTATGCATGCCTAGATAATATTAGCCACCACCCAAAAGACACAAATTGGTTTTCGGAAGAGGGCACGATCAGAATTATTATCAGCTACATTATGATAAAACATCTGACTGAAAGTTTATCAGTCTCAAGACTGGATGTTTTTTTTCTCTGCAAATTTTGTCTGATCAATGGATCATCAACAGATGAAAACTAATCAAGGAGAGAAGCAACCTAGAATTAAGGAGAAATTTCCTGACCGGGAGAACAATAAATCAGTGGAACAATTTGCCTCCAGTAGTTGTGAACATTCCAACACTGGAAGTTTTTTAAAAGATGTTGGATATCCATTTGTCTGAAATGGTCTAGGTTTTCTGCCTGAGCAGGTTGGACGAGAAGACCTTCCAACTCTGTTATTCTGTTAATGTCAGCCCCCTGCCTTTCCAGAAATGTGACAGCGTTTTAAATCAGAGCAGGAAATTCCCCCCCCCCCAAAAAACAACAACAACATTTGATTCAAACAAATGATGACAGACTTAGGGCCCTAAGATGTGGAAGATATATAAATGGAACCCAATCCGTTTCAGACTTATTGCATTAAGTAGCAAGGCTTGACAGGGAAAGGGAAAAACAGTTAACTAAATAGGATACTTGGGTATTTCCCATCCATCTGTGAGCTGAGGATTTTCATTTAATATAGGCTGCCCCAGTTTATCAAGACAAAAATTGGTAAAATAGAGAACACTTCCTATAACCTGGAGAAAGAGTCAAAAAGTGTCAGTATTTTAATCAGACTAAAATAGCATACTAAAAATGTACTTAAATATTTCACAAATATCAAGTTCTGACATAATTAAGTACATTAAATAAATGGCTTGAGAATATGGAGATTCCCAAGTAGTATTTATACGTTCAATCAATTAATGGAAAAACAAAGTTACAGGACTAAGAACAAAAAAGAAAAAAAAGAAAAGATATTTACACGGGTCTCTTTTATCAGTTACCAATTATTTCCTAATGCCATAAACTAGAAAAAACTCAAACCACTCACAGCACAGAAAGAAAAAGGAACTTACGCTAAAAGCCTCTTTGACTTTTTTGGACACATTTGAGCTTGTTACTTTTTGATCCTCTTCCAGGACAAAGCTAGAAGGCTAATAGAATGAAAACCAAGTTTACAAAGTTAAATCAACGTTCTTGAATCAAGTCGAGCAGTATCGGCACAGTGAGGGGTTTGTGACTGACCAGCCCCATGAACAGAAATAGGTGGCCTCTAAGACAGACAGACGAGTTATCTTTCATCACACGATGAAAAGAACTTTTATAAAAGAATAAGCCCATCAACAGATAAATACCTGAGGCTTAACATTGAAGCAGGCCTTGTCCAATTCATTCCTCTGCTGCTCCTCGTATTTCTGAACTAAACTGGATACAAACTCTTCTATGTCTTGATGATATTGCCTATATAACAGATTATCAGAATATAGAACGGATCGATTGTTCTGTTTAGTTTTTTAAAGCCAACAAGACAAGACTAAGGATTTCTGATGCTGCATTTATACATAAGGAATGATAACATTTTTGTGCCACAAACTTCTCTCGTACAAAAGAACAGGTGGACTGAATTCCCAAAGCAAAAGCTATACAGGTAATTAAAAAAAACTATTGGTAGATTTCTGCTAGCATGGAACAAATTCAGATTTGTTTCCACACTGCATATTGAAACGAATCTCAAACATTTAAAATCTTGGACACAGGGAAACTATTTTTTTTTAAATGTCCATTCTGAAAATGAACTCAAGCAACACAAGGAAGGTACTCACTTTGAAACGGTATTATTCATGAACAAGATCTGTAACAAAGGTCCATCAAGTTTACAGTCATCCACTATTAGTCCACTAAAAAAAATAAAGCATAAAGGTTACAACATGAAAGTAATTTCCAGACCCTTAGCAAATAACTGTGGTGTCAATTCATCAGATATTACAACCCTTTCATTTACTATTTTACCCTCTGTTGTTTTTACACTAAGAAGGTAGTTTTGGGAGCTTGGAGAGAGATGAGCTCTGTTTTCCTCCCTGGATCTCTTCTCAATGCGTTTCCTAGCCTTGACCAACCATTACAAATCTACCTAAGGACCCTCTCCTTGTTCAAAACATTGCAAATAAGGGAGAGGGTGAAACCTACCTTGGTCGAGTCAGGATGTTCAGTTTTCTTCTGAGTTCCTGATGTGAAAATGATTAAGGAATTGCAAGGCACAGTAACAGGGAGTGAAGCCAGGAGAATCCCTGCAGCCCCCTCTCTCCAGCCCTCATTATTCTATCCCACCTTTTTAAACATATGACTCAAGGCAGAGAAAATACTTAATTCCCCACCCTCCTGGCCTTTGAAAAGAATTTGAAGGCCTGGCTTTGGCTGCTCGCCTCGAACTTGCCACACAAACTTGGGATTAGATGATGATGATGGTTATTATTTTCACAAAAAACAAACAAGATAACTATGCTGGGTTTTGAATTACAATCACTAGTCGAACACTTCTCAAGTGTTTAGGACTGCGTGATGTATTGGCGGATTATGCGAACAGATCCCAGCAAATGGCATTTTTATTGTTCTTGTTGTTTGTTGTTATTGTACTATTATCCCACTATTATCACTTTATAAATTAGCCCATTGAAGGCTCTTCCCTCCACCTATCTAGCTTTAAATCATTCCATCCTTGTTGCAACTGCCTCCTATAAATACTTATATGCCTTTTAATGAGATGTAATATGGATACATGGTTATGTTTTTAATTGTACTCCGCCCAGGGATACTCTGGGAGTGAGAGAGGATGTCTATAAATCTGTTAAATAAACCCACCTGCCTACTTTGTCCCCCAAACAACAACCCTGTGAGGTGGGTTGGGCTGAGAGAGAGGACAGGCCCGAAGTACCCCAACCGGGTTTCCTATCGACAGGCAGTCCTCAACTTGCAACCATCCATTTAGTGGCCGTTCAAAATTACAACGGCACCGGAAAAAGTGATGATTTGTGACCGTTTTTCACAGCAATCCTCGTGGTCCCTGGATCAAAAGTAGGATGCTTGGCAACTGGCTTGTACTTATGACAGTTGCTGCGTCCCAGGGATCAGGCAGTCCCCTTTTGCAACCTTCTGACCGGCAAAAGTCAACGGGTAAGCCTAATTCCCTGAGCAACCAACTGAAGGACTGCAGTGATTCACTTAACGACAGTGGCAAAAAAGGGTCGTGAAGCGGGGCAAAACTCACTCAGCCAAATGTCTCGCTTTGCAACGGAAAGGCTGGGCTCCGTTATGGTCGCGAATCGAGAACTGCCTGTACTTAATCCGGATTGGGGGGAAGAAATCCCATTGGGGACCGGGGGGGGGGTGGGGGGTGGAGAAGCGAAGCCTGCCCGGGTCCCCTCCCTCAGCGGCGCCTCCCTCTCCCGCAGGAAGGCCGCTCCCCGCCCGGCCCGTCAGGTGCTGCCCTCGCCCGGTTGCAAGATATTCTCCGCCCGCAGCTGCCTAACGGTCTCCTCGGAGTCCCTCAGCCGCTCGCGGAGGTCCGCCGCTTCTTCCGCCGGGCCGGGCCTCAGGTCGGAGGGCGCCTCCTCGTCGGCCTCCAGCTGCTGGAAGAGCTCGCGGTCGCCGAAGTCCACCTCGGCCGCCATCTTGGCGCGCGGGAGGCGAGGCGCGGTGGGCGAGGCGGGGGAGGAGGCGAAGGCCGCCGCGGGGAGGCCCGGAGAAGGCGCTCAGGACCGGGCTCCGCCGCTCAACCCAGTCTCGGGCTTCGGCCGAGGCCTTTTTCCACCTCACAGCGCTTGCAAGACTACGCCGCCCGGCATGCAACGGGGCGACCGTTACGCTGGCTGCCCATTGGCTCCAGGAGGCTCGAGGATGCCGGGAGTTGTAGTTGGACGCGGTGCATGCTGGGAGCGGAGGAGCATTCCCCAGGCGAGGTTGGGAATGGGTGTGGCTGCTCCAGCCCAGGATGATGGGACAGGGGGTGCCCGCCAATTCAGATGCACCAGGGAAGGCATGCAAAAAATAATCCAAAAATGTATTTAAGAACAGACCATGCATGTTACGTATTTTTTAAATTTAATATATTTAATAAGAGTATTATCAGCACCTGCTACTTTGATATAAAAAAACTGCCTCTGCAGATACCATCAATCACAGCACACGCTTCCTGGTTTGTTTTTGGCCAAATTCCAAATAAAACTGCAATTCTGAACACTTGTGATCCTCGAACACGTTGGGGATTTTAATCCGTCCGCCATCCCTATTCTCAACCTGCCTCTGTTGGGCGTGGGGAGATATTGAGGTTTAATATGACGGATTAGTCAGCCCGGGGCATTGGTGATGCCAATATCAAATTTTGGCTATTTATAAGAGGCTGTTTCCTCACATGCCTGAGGTCCTTTCCTCCACAACTGCTGCCACCTCTTGTCTTACGTTTAATATTTGTACAGGACTTTACATTTCGCTTTTTACATTCTGTTAAAATATTTCCTGATCTGGCAATGGCTATTAAAACACAGTATCTTTGAGGGGTTTATCCTACAGTATTCAACTAGAGCTTTCACAGAACGAAACTACTTAAATCGGGGAGGAAAGAATTGTTGGATAAGACGAGCATAATTAGGATATAGTATTTTGATATAGCTAACCAAGAACCTGCAGTATTCTTGGTCTGCTACTTAAATTCTATCCTCTACTTTCCTGCCTCAGGATGAGCGTTTATCTAAAAAATATACTCTGTGAAATCGTGAAATAATTTATCCACTAAACTTAAATACAATACTACTTGAGAAAAAAACATGTTTTATTAACCAGGTTGTTGCACTGCATTTATGTACCCAACGGGCCCGTTCTGCTAGTTTTTAACACCAACACAATGTGTTTTTATGTTCCAAGAGTTGAAAATAACTGTACAAGTTTAAAGTACAAAAAAGTACACGAGAGAGACACAAAATATCCGTGTGGCGAGTTCACCCTCGGCTGTTCTGTTTGAAAACCAAAGTAGAAGCGTCCTTCTGGAGCTCTGGCGTGTGTATAATGGAAGTGAGTATAATAACCTGATTACAACATGGGACACCAGTTATCACTGATCTGGTATTTACAAAAAAAATTGTAATGTCAATAAATAAAAAGTCAATGTTAACACCCATGCAAGCTAGGATGCCAGCTTTCGGTGAACGAGGAGGAAGCCAACATCTCAACCACGGAATCTTGGTCGGAGTCTCAAAGCTGCCCGAAGGCGTTTCCCTCAAACGGCGTCCATTCCTCGCATCGAAGACGTAAAACCCAGCCCCATTCCTCTTTGGGTGTGTGTCTGTGACCTGGCCATTTCGTACTGTGCATCCAGGTTGCGGAAGACTTCTTCTTGCTGTTTCAAAGTCTTATAACTCTCCTCGTCCACTGAACTGCTGCCCCCGGCTTCCTCCTCGCTCTAGGAGAAACAGAAGAGAAGCATCAACCGAAAGGGCTCGCCGAACCCAGCTCAACAAAAGCACACAACAAAGATTCAGGGGCAAAGCTTCACTGCAACGTCTCCATTAATGTTCCCATAATTTTCACCAGCATAAAAGCAGTCTCTTCCCCAACTGAGCTTCTCCAAATCTGCTCTGAAAAGTTGCAGTATATAAAGGATGAAATCAGATCCCCTGGAGATCGTTTTAATCCAAATCTGTATTTTCCCACTGTTTGAGCTTATCATTTAACTCATCCAGCTACCTCGAGAATGGGACTTCACTCCATGGACCACTCTGAAGTGTTGTTTCTTAGCCTGTAGGCCTTGCCCAAGACCACACAGGTCTCTTCACGCTGATCTTTCTGGCATAAAGACATAGCTCATTTTAGAAACACTTACCTTAATACCCATCAACTTCCTAAACTTGACGTTTTGGTCCTTATTTCCGAAATTCAGTTTCTCCCAGATTTCCGCAGATTGTGATTTATCCTATTTAAAAAAATGAAGTAAAAGCCAACATGTAGCAACTGGAAAAAGATTTCTCAAGTAAAAAAGTAGTTTTCTCTTTTTTACCGTTCCTCTCTAACCCATTCACCCCCTCTCAAACTTTCAGTACACAAGGGCTTATTTAGCAACTAGTTATTATATCATCTTGGCCATTTCTGGTCCTGTGAATGAGCCCTTCAAGGTTATTTCCATCTTAGAATTCCAAAAACGGCGAAGAGCTGCACAGCCAGGCATAGCCCTGATCTGCCTCCGAAAACATTACCGTGCAGACTCCCCATGGGTAACCCATCAAAGGTAACACCTAAAGGAGAATTACCCCTTCTTTCTTGCCCTGCCACAGCATTTTCCTCTTCTTTTCCTGCTCGGCGAACTTCATGGGGTTCACTGCTGCTGGGTTGTAGTAGCTGGGAACGGCTATTCCTGTCTCGGCCAGAGCCTTCGCTTGCAGGGCTGCCATCTGAGCTGCCATGGCTATTTGAGGAGTGACCTGTGTCCCTGACGCCAGGAGAGCTGCGACGTTGATGACTGACCCGCCGGTGGCAGCTGCCGCTGAAACCAAGAAAACCGTTATTCTTCAAAAAGAAGAATGGTGCGGCTGTCTAATACGCCAGCTTCACAAGTCATAAAAACTTGTACAAATTCTTTTGGCAGACAGTCTTTACCAGATTTTGTCCAAATACGTAACATTCTACTTTTTCTGGCATTTTTAAAAAAGGTAGAATAGGAAGTCTAGAGACAGATCAAAATGAAATAAAACTAGTGCTGTGTTATTAGCGCCATTTATTTTAAAGGGAAGTTCAATTACCGGCGACCATTTCCTGTTGCTTCTGCTTTTCAACCAATTCTTTCTCTCTCTGTTCTTGCAATTTCTTTGCTCTTTCCAACCTAGGAATAACAATGCAGAAAGACGTGAAAAGGGTTTTTTTCTCATTTCCCGACTTCAGTACTGTACTGTTCATTTAGAAACAAAGCAGCAAGGAGAAGCTGAAAAAGCCGCACGCAAGTCAAAAGATTACCTAGTTCTTTTCTCTGTTGCTGCTTCTCAGTTTGATTTCAACAGATACATTTGATGAAAAAGACAAAGGGGCTGAAGTACTTTCCCACTTCCAGTTTCACAGTTATTAATAATGTGTGTGTGTGTGTGTGTGTGTGATGAAAACCACCTTAGAAAAAATGTCAAAGAAAAATCAAAATGTGCCTCGTACCTTCTGGCCAAGGCTTCCTGAGCATCCATCGCTGTATTTCTTCCCCTGAAAGGCGGGGGGCTCGGAGTTCGGCTGTGACTTCTGCTGAACCTTCGTGGTTTTTCGGGTCTCTTCTTTCTTTCCCTGTTCAGAACCACAGAGGTTCATTTTTCCTTTCTTCACAATTATACATCAGGCCACAGATGAGCCTGAACAGCATGTTCTCCCATTCCCTATCACTCCCTCTACATTTTATCCTTTAAAAAGCATCAACACACCTGCTCCGACTCCTGGTTCTGCTTCTGCTGGGGCTTCTATGCCTGTGTCTGGATTTAGATCGAGATCTGGATCTCACACGCCGCTTTTTCTCTCGACTTCGGGAGCGGGATTTTTTTCTATCGCGGCTTCGACTACGGTGCCGCCTGGAATCACATGCCAAATCCCTGTTAATGTTTCCAAGTTCGACTATTCCATTTAATTACCCGCAAATAAAAGTATTATCTGCATTATGTTCCGCTTAGAGTATTTTTTTTTTAAAGATAATTGAGAAAGTCTTTAGGCTTATATTATTTAGCAGATATTCCCCTGGAAGGAGTGCAGAAACACGAGTCAGCATTGCTATTCTACAGAAAAATCCGTGGCAGAGGTTAAGGCATAACTATTGTAAGAAAAGCAATCCAAGACATCCTCAATCTAGTTAACTATAAGAGTTTGTATCTAGGCTGAAGAAACAAATACAGGTGGTCCTCGGCTTACGACCACAATTGAGCCCACCATTCATGTTGCCAAGTGACAAATCTGTCAAGTGAGTTTTGCCCCATTTTACCACTTTTTCTGCCACATTTTGATAAGTGAATCTCTGCAGTTGTTAAATTAGCCTCATGGTTGTTACGTGAATCTGGCTTCCCTGTTGCCTTTGCTTACGGAAGGTCCCAAAAGGGGATCACGTGACACACGCACGGGACATTGCAACCGTCATAAATGTGAGTCAATTGTCAAGCATCCGGATGTAGATCACATGACCACAGGGATGCTGCAATGGTCGTAAGTGTGAACAATGGTCGTAATGCACTTGGGAGTCACTATGTGAATTGTTAACCTGTGGTGGCCACAAAATCCAGTTACAAAGACACATAATGTTCTACCCCCACTGCATGTTTGTTGAGAAGACAAAAACATTCACCAAGTAGGCAAATTCACGGCTCCCCTTCTTTCGTGAGCGGGGTCAACCGTCTCCGGGATCCTTTCCAAACTAACCACCAGGAAGGAAACTAGGAATCTACCTTTCCCGCGAACGAGACCTTGAATGGCTGCGTCCCCTGGAGGGCTTCCTCTCCTTGCGCTTGTGCCGATCCTCGCCATTCTCCGAAGAGTTCAGGCTCTCTCTCCCTTTATCTGAAAAGTGGTCTTTGTCGTTATGCTCTTCAGCTCTGTGCTTCTTGGAGGACTTCTCTTTGGACCCATGTCTTCGTGCCTGTTTTAAGAAGAAGTTGGTTCTTTCAGGAAAATAGTGCAACAAAAAGAGTTAGTATGGGCATTAGAAGATCAAGAATGATATGTTGTTGTTGATGCAACATTAGTAACCTTAGGAGCGTGGCCCCAGTCAACTGAGATCTCTTTTAACATCACCACCATCTACGCAATGTTGCAGAGGTGAACCTACCATTCCTCCCCACCCCCTTGCTTGACTTAAATCTTGCTCCACAAGGTTAAAACATCTCCTGCCACAAGCCAGGTTTACATCACGAGACGGAACAGCTGTTCTGAGGGTTTGATGGCCTCGTCCACAAAAGAAAACATGCTGCTCTCTCGGCACCCCAGAGAAATCTTTAAAAAACTCATCCAGCAACATGGCAGGAGATTTACAGGCCATCCTCCTACAACAGCCAACCTGAGGTTTGGTGGTACAGTGGATCCCCAGCCCAAATCTTGTCTGTCAGGTAACCAGCGTTCAAGCCAGACCATGTTTTGAATCTCCAACAATTTGGGCTCTTTATAAGACACTTTACCATTCAGTGTTTAGTTTTCTAAAAATTTGGGTAAAGGTTTTCTGCAACTTTCCTTTTCTGTACTTTCACTACCCAGATACATTTTTCTCTATAAATTCTACTGGAAGTGGAACTTAGAAGCAATTGCACAGGAAATCCTTAACATTTTCATGTAATTCTTTAAGTCTTTCAGGTCCTAGTAACCTCACTCAAAGCCAATATTACACACATATAATTCAATCATTTACTTATTCATTCATTACACCATTTTATTCTAAATGTTAAGCCACCACAATTATTATTTTAACTTTTATGGTTAAATTTTAATATGAAATTGTTTGGGTACCCACTGAAGGTTAAAGAAGGAGTGTAAAGTACTTCTTGTTGCATACTGAAAATGAGAAAAGCTCACAAAGGTGGAACAAACCCAACTGTCAAGGTAGAGGTATATTTATGGACTGTGGTGGATGTTTTTCTAATACCGTGTGATGTCCATATTCTCTCCTCTTCCTTTTTGGAACATGTACAATTACTAGAACTAGGAATAACCCTTTACTTAATTAGTCCTTAAGCATTACAAATTAGGACAATCACCTAAAAATACTGGGTCAAACATCAACAGAAAAATCGAATTCTAACAGCAGTTATTCCCCTGGAATTTAAAATAAAAAAACAATAGAGTTCTTAACTAGTTTGAACTATTTCTATTCCCTCTATTATGAGGGAAATACGTTTTGAAAACATAATGGAATAGTCTTCTAAACATATAGCATGTACTTTAAAAACACCATTATATCCAATAAAACTGATTTAAATTTCTTTGCAAGGGAAATATGAGTTTGAATTACTAATAGTTACCTTATCATGAAGTAGGCTTATAATTTTGCTATCTGAGTCTGGAGCGTCTTCAGTTCAGTCTCTTCGCGCATTAGCACGCTGAGTATGATTTATTATAGAAATGTTATCATGTGATCTAAACAATATAGTCAATTTCACAAATATTCTCCTACTTTTTTTTTTAAACAGAGCTTCCATTGCGGGGAGGGGGGGGAAATCTCTGATCCCACCTAAATAAATTTTACCTAATGCTCTATCGAGCAGAATGTTCCAGTTACTGCTGATGCTCCTGAGCCGAAACCCCCTCTGCACCAGAGGCCGGTCATTCCCCTAGCAATGTTCCTAACAATGGCTTCCTCATCTCAATCCCCTTACTTTGCCTTCAAAACCATTTGTTTCCATCTCTGTGACTCCTCTCCTATGGACAAACCCCACCATAGGAGAACTCCAATTATGTCCTCACCCAAACAGTGACAAAAAACTTGAGGGTGGAGGTGAAATGAGATGGGCAAAGATTTTTGCAAATGCTTAGCTGAACTCTGGTGAATGGAAGCTCTGTGAGAAATCAATTATATTAAAAAAATTTATCATGGTAATTTCCACAGTAAATCTCCACATGAATTTTTTTTGGGGTCAACTATTACCTTTTCGTTATAAAGATGGCTTCATTCATGCTTCATTCACTCCAAGCACTTTCTGAATTTACTTTTTTTTTTGGTACTTACCATTTAGACAATTATATCTTAAGATTTATACATGCTATGACATACTTGTAAATATGTCCTGCACAAATACCCAAGCACTACAAAGTATTAATTACCTCTTTGCTTCTGCTCCGACTTCTGTATTTTTTCCCGTCATTATCTAAAGAAAAAAGCATCTATTAGTCACCCAATATAGTTTTTAAAATATCATCCCCATCGACATAAGTTCCAATCCCTGTGATATTAACGCTTAAGCTATTTTACAGATTTAAAACAGCTGGAACTGTTAATATTTGCATCCTCCTTCCCTGATACAAGGCTCTCTTCAGCATAATTCTGAGGTCTATTTTACTAATTCACCATTCTATCTTGAATATAGAATGTTATCATTTATGACTTACATTCCAAAAAGTTACATTTTGAATTGAAATATTTTAAAGTGACTGAGATTGCAAGAAACTACAACCTTAATTAAGGCAACCATTAAACCACAAGGGTGTTTCCACTAGCAAAATTTAACAAACAGGTAGAGACTTTCATACCGGATTTTCGTTTTCTTTCTCTTGATCGGGAACGTGACCTTGAATAATGGTGTTTTGAAGTTCTAGGTGAACTGGATGCATCTGATCGTTCCTTTTTCTTCTCTCTCTCAGGAGATGATTTCTCTGGGGGATTTGCCTCTCGCTCAGAATCACTAGCCTAATTTAAAATGAAATAACTTTTAAGATTTGCAGTACAGTGACTGTCTACTACTCTTCCGTCAGCCATGGGGCACTACCTCAAGTTCTTTAAAATGACTCGATTTACAGCACATATTACATTAATGACAATAAACAATATGTCTGACTTCCTTCACACTTAAATTCACAACTCTTAATAGCTTTCTCTAGAAACTAAATTACCCTCCTCATGACTATTGCAGCAAGTCTGAATAATACAAATTTGCCATTAAATAATTTCTTATCAGGCTGGATGAATAACTAGATAGGGGTGAAAAACTAGATAGAAAAAATGCAAAGGATTTTATGACAGCTGTGCTTTACTTGGGACTAAAGACCTGTTTATATTTTAGGAATATTCCAAACAAATTAAACCCCAGCTGAGAGTAGAGCACTTAACTGGAGCTGTTCAACCCCAAGGGCTTTAAAACCAGGTCATAAACAACATTTAACATTGTCAACTTAGAATAGCATTAACCGATCAATAAAAACATAAAAAGCATTGTTGCTAAATAAATGCTAAGGAACCATAAGCTCCTAAACGCTTAATTTTATGCAACCTTTATCATGTGTTTATTCCGAAGTCTCTGAGGTCCAGGTTAAAATATTTACTTATAGAATACAAGCCCCCCTGAAGTTCATAGCTCCCCCCACCCAGAAAGCTATTGGAACTTGATACCATTAATTCAACTGCAAATTGGTGTATTACTCATCCCACCTTAGTTACCCTGTAAGAATTATTATCATTTTCACAAATTACACTCAAAACATCAAAGAGAACACACAGCATGAAGAAATAAATACAAATAAAGGAGGTAGGGTTCCTCCCCCTTTCGTTTGCCCGGAGAAGACAGGACCCCAGGGTCACAAAAAGATACCTTAAAACCATTAATGTAGCATCTTCCTCTTCCATCAGGAGCAGCTACAGAGGGCAGAAGCCAAACTGTCCTACTGGCACCTCTTTTTTTTTTTATCCCCAATCTCTGCCGCACATATACATCCGTATATGTATCTTATGTGAATCATATATATATATACATACATACATATGTATATAAAAGATTCACATGCGCCCAGCATACCAGCTACTTTTCTTAGAGTTATACTTATAAAAGAGCCGCAAATGGGCCTGGTCTCCTCTCCCATCCCATAATAAACCCTAAACAGCCCTCCACCACCCAAGCCTTTGCATCCATAAACACAACCTGTTCTTTTCCACACTGATCATTTACATCCCATAATAAAATTTGATTTAAAAAAAGGCTTCAGATCCATACATGTCAATGCGTACTGAAGATGTATATATACATCTGTATCTACATACACAAACATACACACATCTATTTGTAGGGGTATATGTATCTATATACACATCTTTTATCTCCATTCCTTTTTTATCTCCCTCTTTTATCTGCCTTTTATCTACCTCTATATACTATATCATATCTCTAATTTTTTATATAACTCTACATGCCTATGTCTTTTTTTTATATATTTTTATATATCTTTTTAATATATTTTTATATCTTTTCTTTTTAATATACCTCTATAACTTTTATCTTTTTTATATTTATGTTTCTTGCTTTTTTATATACGTTTATATCTGTCTATCTTTTACCTGTCTCTATTTCATTTTTATCAATCTATATCCACCCATCCACACCCGCTTTAACCCCACAAAAAGCCCCCCCCCCCCACCATCCACACGTGTATGAGGCGTGTAAGCCAAACATGGGAATGCCGACACTCGCTTCTCCCCATGAGGCACCCGGTTCGAGGCCCGGACCCCCCCCCCCCCCCGAGGCCGCCGGAGAAGCTTCGAGAAGCCGCGCTGGGGGAGGGGTACCGCCTCCCTCCTCCCCCCTCACGGAGGCCCATCATGGCGGCCGGGCGCCATCTTGTCTGGCGCCTTCCATCCGAGGCGGCTCCGCCCGCCGCCTGGGCCTCTCCCTCCGCCAACCCGGGAAGCCGTCCGGGGAGCCTCACCGCCATGCCGGGGTGCAGGGGAGGGGAAGCGGGCCCCGAGCGGGACCTCCGGCTCCTCCGCGGCTTCGACCCCCTTCAGCGAGCAACGCGCAGCGCCTCAGCAACTGACTGGACGGGCAGCCCTCTCAGCTCGGCCCCGCCCCCTGCCTGGGATATGCCCGGATGTAGCCGGGAGAGAGGCGGGAGGAAGAAGAGTTCCTCTGCGCCTGCGCGGACGGGGGAACCTAGAGATATACCTGGTAGAATGGAGCGGTTGATAGTTTCTCTGCTTTGGCTCTTTTTACGGCACTCCTGCCCCAAAGAAGACGGGGCGGGCTCCGAATAAGGAACCGTAACATTAAAACAGAAATATGATCTGATCGCTCTCTTTCCCTTTTTTTTTCTTTAAAAAAGAGAATGTAGCCTCCCTTAATATGTCGGAGTGATTTTTCTCGGTTGCGCCCAATCCTCCTCAGTTTTGCCCTTTGAGGGGCCCGAATGACCTCGAGAGAGCCTGTGGAATGGGCCCCCGAGCGTCCCTCACACAAGGGAAAGGGAATCACGACGGACAAAGGACACCTCTACCCTCTTCCTATCTCCCCGGGTTGGGGGGGGGGCGCCCTCTTCGTGGTGAAGTTTGGCCCTCGCGGTCCGCCGTAGCCGGCTAAGCCCCGCCTGCGGACCGCAGGGAGAACTCCCGCCAAATCCAAAAGGTCCCTTTGAATCTCCGGGCGGTTCGGTCGCTGCGCGGCTTCCTCGGGAGCGGCGTCAGTGGGTAGATGGGACCCGTCGGCGGGCTGGTCTTGCCGGACGCCCGTTAAGAGCTGGGCGACAGGTGGGAGTTCACCCGGGGAAGCTTTGCCCAGCCTGGGAAGAGCCCGATCGGGAAATATATATATATATATATAATATAAAACTTATATATATAAGGCAAGGAAGGAAAGAAAGAAAGAAGAAAAGAAAGAAAAAGGAAAGAAAGAAAAAAGAAGGAAAGGAAATATATAATATAATGTAATGTAATATAATATAATATAATATAATATAATATAATATAATATAATAGTATATATTTCTTTCTTTTTCTTTCTTTTCTTCTTTTCTTCCTTCCTTCCTTGCTTCCTTTCCTTCTTTTCTCTTTCTGTCTTTCTTTTCTTTTTCTTTCTCTTTTTTTCATTCTGTTCTTTCTTCCTCTCTCTTTTTCTCCCTTGCTCCCTCTCTCTCTCTCTCTCTCTACATATATAGTACTAAACAGTCCTCCCGCTAGGGTTGCACCAAACCTGCCCCATATTTTGGGAAGTGCATGTCTGTTGTTTTGCTTAATAGCTTCTCTTTTGCTTTGATTTAATATAAAAGTCATTATCAAAAAAGTTAAAGGGTTTTTGCAAAAATCCATGGTTAAAACCAGAGAGGTGCAATCCAGAACAACGACATTATTACCTGTGGCCGTTGAATGCATGTGCAGGCGCTTATTGGTGGGTTTAACGAGGAAAATATTAATTTTAGAGAAATGGAGCTCTGGAGCACAGAGTGAAAGTTATTGATTGTGCTTTGGCTTTTAAAAAAAAAAGTCCACGCAGCTTGCTTGAAGCAGGAGGAGATTTAGAAATTCACGCTGGTTGTAAAACAAAAATCTTAACTTTCCTGCATTGAGGAAAGTTCCCCCCAATAAATGGGTGACGTTGCAAACTCACGAATGAAGGCAAATATACGTGTCCCAGATTATGTTGAAGGATTCAATCTTGTTGGGTCACCGATGATCGACCCAGGTTGCATCCTGCAACGTTGCAAACCCAGACCGCCATTTCTTTCTTTGCTTTAATGCACGTTACGGCCTCATTTGTTTGTCTTCTGACTTTGGCCGGACAGAACATCGTCCTAACCGAAGATGTGGGACGACGTTGAGCTCCTGACGAGTGACGATACGGGCAGCGGGCAGCTGAGCATACAATCCAGGCAAGAATGTGGCAGCGCGCTCTATCAGATGAACACGCTGGTGAAAATAACCTCATCCAAAAAGGTAGGACAGCCTTAAGGACCCCCATCACAAGGGTTCTGGGGGGCAGTGGAAACCCACAAGGCTCAAATCAGGACAAGCGCATGATGCTGTCGCATCTTCTCTGGGTTGCATGGTGGCCGGTTGCTCTCTGACCCAGAAAAACATAACCTTTAGTGCAGCAACTTTAATTTCAATCCAAAGATCTAGTAACTATAAAAGAGAAATGCACAGGCCTACAACTCTATTATATAGCAGTACAGGTTGTTCTCAACTTATGACTGGCCACTTAACAACTTCAAAGTTATGACCAACCTGAAAAAGGGGACTTACAACCTAGATTTGATGTTCCAGACTCCATTATGGTTGTAACCTGAGGACTACCATTGACGTATAGTTGCAATGTGTGTTAGTTGTTGATAGCTGCACTAATTCTTTTGTTTTAATCTGTTGACGCACATATAACAAGCACGCAGATCTCATTCGTTCCTTGTGTGCTTTTTTATTCCATTCGTCTACGTGGACTTTCATTATATATATTTTTTAAATTGTTCAGGTTTTATCTAACCCGGAATTAAATGCCTACAATTTGAGTGATGGCTGCGTGTTGGTGGCTGACAGGACGGTGGTTGTACTTGACAATATTTGTCAGTCTCTTCAAATGTTTATTCATTTTGGTGAGTTTCCGGCTGAGGCCAGGAACTATGGATCTTAGTGGCAGATGAAGTAAAAAATGTATATTTGCAAGCTTGGATATATATGTCTGTAATCTTCCTGTTTAATATTTTAGATTTTATATTCCATGTTTTATATTTTACTCCTGTGTTCCTTTTTTACTGAAAGATGATATGAATAGACAGATAGATAGATAGATAGATAGATAGATAGATAGATAGATAGATAGATAGATAGATAGATGGTGTTAGAGAGATGATAGAGATGTTAGAGAGAGAGGGAAAGAGAGAGAGATGAATGGGTAGTGAGATGGATAGCATATAAAATAGATGATGAGAGAGAGAGAGGGAGGGAAATACCGTGGATGGATGGATTAGATAGATAGACCGATCAATCATATAGAATTACTGCTGAAAAATGTCTTAAGTTGAATAATATGGAAATCGCATGTTTACGGCTTTTGCAGTTTCCCAGAGTATCTTTTAGTCATCTTGTGGTTGTTTTTAAATTCACCGTACTGCAGTGTTTTCTTTTTGGGGACCCACAATAACACGTGACTAGCTTTTCAAACCTTTCAGAAACGGAGGTGGACATTGTTGGCTTGTGTCAAGAAGGCCAGTTCCTGGTCGCAGGTGAAAGAAGTGGGAACTTACACCTGATTCAAGTATCTTCAAAACAGACCCTGCTAACTAAGGCAGGTTGCTTATATCTTGCCCGTTCTTGTAAAGCATGTCGCTTCTTTTATTTGAGAAATAAAGGTACAGAATGCTGAGCTATAGTTTTAGCACCGCGTGAGGAAGTTCTGAGCTCACCCATTCCTTAGTCCTGCTTCCCTTTTAGCATATCTAAAGAGACGGAAAGTTTTGTTTTTCACAAAAATCAACCGTAAGAAAAAGTCGGTCTCTAATTTTGCAGCAAACTTCTTTCTCTGAAATACGATTAATTTGTCTTTCAATACAAGTATTTCTAATAACAATTAACCACAGCTGTGATTTAATTTAAAAATGGGATTAAAGACTTCTACTTCCTTCACACTCCTGTGCTGATGGGATAGAAAATAAGAACTCTTGCATTTGTGCCCTCTCTGAAGTTTTTTTTTTAATTATTTTTTCATAACAAGCCAAACCAGATACTCTTGGAAGTTTCAGCCTCCATCAGTATACGAGGATACATAAAATCATTACTTAACTCTAGTTCCTCTCAACACCCAGCTGTCATTACAATGATGTGTTTTCTTTTTGTGAAACCACATCTAGGCGTTAGTTCAAAGTTCTTTCGACGAAAAGGTCTTTTTGGATCTCATTCTGGAAATGGACAGTTCCGTAGAAGGTAAGATGAATACCTTGGAAAGTGTATTTTGGAAGCCAAGATCACAACTCAGGTGATCTGGTCACAACTCAGAATTTGGCCCGTGAAGAAAACGGTGAGGATTTTGCTGCCTTGTGGTTTCCTCTGCAAAATCTTAAAATTGGGCTTCTGTTTATATACCCGATGTAATTATTTTGGTTCACCGTTCAGAGGAAGTGGAGTTGTTTTGATTCCTTGTTCATAGTTAGAGATTAGGTATTCCTTGACTCAAAAGTACACAGATGGAGTAATCAGGGATGGGCATGCCGCTTGATATTTTTTTTCTGCTTAATTTATAGGTACCTATCATGCATTTATTCTGACTAGCAAAGGTTTTTTCTGTATTATGCATCTCCCACTTGCCAACATTCAGAAAGGTAAGCCAGGACTTTGTAGATTCCAAACATACAGGATGTTAAGAAATGAAACTTTCCTTTTCATATTTTCTGTTCTAAGGACACCAATATCTGAATTTTGCAGATATAGCTGGTGGCAGTTGCGTTCATGTTGTCACAGCTGTTGTGTGATTCAGCCCTTGTGTGTTTTTCCTGGGTGTTTTGTGAAGCTTGATAGCCACGGACACAATTCACAATTACAATTTCCAGATTTGAGCCAAATTGTCACCGAGTTTTCTTGGAAAATGGTAGCTGTTGGGGACTTTCCGTAGGCCCTTCTACATTGTCTCAGCTATCAATTTTTATGTTTAGCATTGTATTTTTCCTGTTCGTTTGTTCTTTGCCTGCCTGAAATGCTACAGGGCACCTTGTCACTGCTGCACGAAGGATTAAGTATTTCTGAAAAATTGAGATGTTGAACAAAGGTATGATGAAATGACATTATGGAAAGCTTTTCTAAAGTATTTCTGATAATGTTTTTCCTTTATGCAGCCATTATCGAAATGGACATCAATGCTGCCAAGAAGGTATCCGAGGCTCTTGATCATTATTAGTATTGTAAATGTTGCTTTTAAAAAAATCTGAGTGGGACCCAGAGCCAGGTATGCCTGCATTTTCCAAATTTAGACCTCCCTTTTCTGCCTTTCTGACGGATGTTTCTATTCACAAGGCAGAAAGCCAGTCGTATCATTTTAAAATATAACATCTCCTTCAAGGTGGGGGGCTATTTCTGGCTGTCCTGGGGACA